GAGAAAAGGAGTCAAAGATACAAATGATATAGCGATTATATGACAAATTCACAAAAAAACAAGTCTTTAAAGTTGTGAGGATCGTTTCGCATGTTATCGCCATGTTTTTTTCTCATCCCATAATGATCATTTTTGCATTTTTTTTGTCATTTTTGCAGTTATGATTAAGCATAATAATATCAGAACTCATTTTATCGAACTTAACTAAAAATTTCAAGTTCTTTTAATAAGTTAATGTTTCACATACTTCTCTTAAAATTAATAGCTCACATAATGTTTCGGTGTTGATATTTATAACTAGCTCATTATTGATAAATTTATGTAATTCTAGAAATCTATCATATTGTAAAACAGTGTCGTAATATGCAGTAGCAGGATATATCTTATTTCACTACTGAATATTTTAATCTATTTATACTTCAAATTATGAGACAGAAGGCAAAATATAAGATGAGAATAAAAGAAATATCATTCATTCTACATATAAAAGTTATGTAGAATTATGGTCTCATTTTTGTAACATTTTTTTCAACCATGTGTTCAATTATTCTTTCTCTTTTCTTTTCTTTTCTTTTCTGTATGGTATGAATATCACACCATATCCAGTGGCATGTAATAGTAGATATCACATGCATACTTGATGGAAAACATTCGATAGACATTGGAATGTGCGAGTGTGTCTGTCAATAGCAATTTGACAAGCTTTTTTTCTTTTATGTAATAAACTATAGTTTGTTGAAAATATGAGGTACGTAAAGATGTAATCTTCCTGCTTCATTTAATTATAATAGTACGCCTCGTGAATTCATCTCGATTTATTACAGTGTTAAAAGAATAAGTTTTTTTCGGCACAATTACATTCCCTTGACTATATAAAAGACGTTTTATCTGTGTAGAGACCTTCGATCTAAAGTAGAACTCATCTAAATTCAATTATCTTGTGAGAAATAAGTGCGTCATTGTATGTACCTAGTTCCGCTCATATTTCTGGTCCATATTCTGGTAACTCTTTCTTCATTTCTCTTCCGAATTTACAGTAAGCAGTTTTAAAAAAGACTTTATCTGATTTGATAATTTAATATGGGTTGATACATCCGTGGGATAATCTATTTCAAGATGGATTATAGCATGTTTCATCACTCAAAAGAAAAACTAGTAGATCATTAACATAAACAATTGGTTTACTACAAAAAGACATCTGGATACATGCAATTGGAAACATCTAAAAACGGGTCTTTTTATCACAAAGTATAGGGTAAAAAACGCCTTGAATCATGCGTTAACTATGCGAATGTAATCGCATCTGTTTTAATAGTTTTTTACATTGTATATTATACAATCTGGAATTATTAAAACATTGTGATACTGTTTTATCCTTCTTGTTCATCGACGTAATGAAACGAAAAAATGAAGAATTTACTTTATTTCTTTTTTGTTTATAATCATTAAAAGATATAAGGTCATTGCACTTTCTCTCTCTCTTTATTATCAACAAAATGTCTAAATGTAGACATCTTTCGGGTTGATATCGATATATATTTTTTATGTTTAATTGTTTTGTGTATGTCTGCACATCAGCTGGAAAAAATGTTCTAAAAACCTATCCAGACGACTTAGTTTATTACATGTAGTAATGAATTTTTTTGTTATTTCGTGAAATGGACAAACAAAACACAGATAAACAACACTATAGCCTAGGCATGCACTAAATCCGAATGTTCGGGTTCGAGTTCGGTCTCATCTGGACAGAACGGTTTGGCACCAATGCACGCATTCTTGCTCTTACGAACGTTCTATTATCTTATTCTCTTGCTTCTCACTGTGCCTATTATTAAAAGAAACATTCAGACGCACACACAAGTGTTCTTTTTCTATATGTTATAGCTATTTAGATAGATCAAGGGCACAGATAAAATCTGTTCTAATGTTCTCTCTTGGGTGTTTTATTTATAGACATCATGATAGTTTAGTAGAGTGTTCTGTGAGAAGACTCACAAGCGGTAGACTGACTACTTTTCCGTACCCAAACCCGAACTTGGGTTTAGGTTTGCTGCATGCCTACTTGGGCCATTAAGATAAATTAAATAGTCTAACTAAAGTTTACTGTGCTCAAAAAGCAACTCTAATAAATGCGATGCTCAACTTGCGTATAAAATCTCGATTTATTGATTAGCATGAGTATACTGAACAGAAACTTTAACTATGATTTTAATCATACCTTTAAACCTAATCCATTTTTTTCATCTGAATTGATTATATTAAAATTATCTCCTGACGTGTTCTTTTCGTTTTGCTTTGGCTTACGTTTAACTTTTGTTTACGTCACATTCAAATTTTTAGTACTGCAGTCCTGAATAAACTTAAAGCTCAGAAAAACAAAATCTTTAAATCCAAAGAATTCTTGTGATATAGTTGAATGTAATTAAGAATCCAGTATAAATCCCGCTATGCAGAGTTCTTTTCTGTCGAAAGCATGTTTTTGGTTTTTTTAGCGCTTAAACACATCAGCATTGTATCAGAATGACGATCGAGTCTGGTAATGAATCGCTAATGTGAGAAAAACTGTGAAAATTTTCTGAAAAATCATTGTTTCTTCTACACTATGTGCCTCGACGAAACAAAGTGATGATATTTCTGGAGGACGGAATTTTATTGAGATTCATTCAACAGAAATTTATCAAAATCTCATTCGAATCCTAAGAAATTCCCATGCAAACGAGATATTCTTACGAGAGTCTCAACTCTGCAAATCACCCTGTCAAGCTGTGGTTTATAGAGAATTTGGCTAAAACAAACACAGACAGCAACGAATCATCAATTGAATTTTGCATATGGAATGATCGTTGTAGTCTAAGTACTTTTTTAAAGGATTTGTAGAAAGTAGTCTCACTTTCAAATAATTGAAAAGACATAAAACGACTGAATGACAAAACTTCAATCAAAATCATAGTTCTTGGTTTTTGTCACCTTGCTCAATCTTGTTCAGTTTCGTGCTTTATTCTAATATTACTTTTTACTGTGTATCCCTCCCACTCGTATTCACACAACAATTATCGGTTTAAGAATGACTTTGCGTTCTCGTGCATCCAGAAAAATAATATTTGACAATGTTGGCTTTAAGTACTTTTTCTTATACAAATAGTAGTGCTTCTCCTAACGAATAATATTTTTCGTTTCATCCCATATAATCATCATATCTCTCTTGTGCGTATTATACATAAAATACATTGCTCTAATGATGATGGAGATGAGACACAATTGTTTTTTCTTCTTTTATACCACTTATGTCAAAATATATACATCGATGAGTTTATTAAGTTCTATTTTTTTCTTTTATTCTAACGAAACGATGATTCTTTTTTTGTATTTCGTAGGTGACCTCTCTAATGAGAACAATTTTCTTAATCATTTCTCAATTGAAGAGAATTTCAAATGATGCACTACTGAAGGAGAACAATTGTTTATACATAATCTCAAAGGAGAACATTTTTGTAAATTTGAAAGATAACTGGTTAATGTATACCCTATAAAAAAAGATTAATATGGCAGAGCCTGCTAACAAGCCTGCACATTCAGTTCCAGCAGACAAAATTCTCACGAGCAGACCTGTGCAGGTCTGCAGGGAACATCGTGGCAGACCCTGGAAGACCCGCAGCAGACACTGTCACATACCTCTGCAGAGAATGCAGCATTGGTACGTGACAGTGTCTGCTGCGGGTCTGCCACAGACCTGCACTGGTCTGCTCGTGAGAATTTTGTCTGCTGGAACTGAATGTACAGGCTTGTTAGCAGGCTCTGCCATATTAATCTTTTTTTATAGGGTAAGCTAATTAAGAAGCTTTTTAAGGCAGAGAACTTTGGAAGCTGAAGAGACTGTTTAGACTACCACAAGGCAGGTCGAAAGAATAAAGGATACGATAAAACGATCAACATGGCTAAACGTTCAACCTTATAAAAGAGATAAACTTTGCAAAGCATTATCGTTATTGAGAAACAAAAAATGTCATTACTATTTGCTACTGAAAATACTATTAAAGACGGTCATAGGTCGTTATTGTATAAAACGTATCGCTCATGTAGGTATAAAGTTGATGGCACTAAAACATGGCATTGTACTGAGTAAGTTGTCGGTTTAATATTGCTTCTGTTGTTGTAACTAAATATTAACTGTGTTGATTTGGTCGTAATTGTTGTAGTCAATCCAACAACATTAGCAGTTTCAGTAGAACGTGGAAACCATGCACATGAAGAAGCCAAGCACCCACTAGTACGTGATTTGAAGCGATTGTGGTTTGAAGCGAAATTGTTCCGAATTAGAAATACTCCATACTAAATTTCAATATTTGTGCAGAAGTATAGACTTTCGAGAGTACTCTAATGTTGCTCAAAAGCCATGTTATAAAATACTGTCGCTAGTCGACTTTTTTCGAAAAGCCCTCGGGGAGTCCCCGAAAATCCAGAATCCCCAATGATTTCCCCAAAACTTCCCGGTGAGTTCCTGCCAACTCCCCATCCAGCTTTTTTGTTTTGCGGACGGACAGCCATACATAAAAATACCACTGTTCTGTGCAAAAATTCGTTCGAATTTTCTCCTAGTGAATCATCACCATCGTGTCAGCCGGTGTTGGCTGACTGGTACTAGTGATAGGATGTAGCACTTAATTCTAATGAATTATATGAAATTTACAAAAGATCTAAAGGGAGTCCCTGGGGATTCCCTCAAAACTTCCTGAGGATTTTAGGGGGACTCTCAAGAAACTCTCCGGGGATTTCATCAGGAAGTGGCGACTAGGGGTACTGAGCCATACAGTGATGTCTATCTATGTTTTCATTTATTTGATGCGTTTTTTCTCTATTTTCAGTATAAAAATCGTCTTGTTTATTATTTCTTCTTCACATTAAATTATTCTGGATAAAAGCGTTCATTATCAACATCTTTATAAAAATTATAAAAGACGAAGAAAAAACGGATAACAACGTATATGGTGTAAATAGACAATATGGCCCAACCTCATCGATTACGTGTTCAAACTCAACGTCCGCCACCACTGGTTAAAAAAACTCATTCAACTACAACAACCAAACAAACGCGATTTGTTCATCGACATTTTTTAATATTAGGCGATCTCCTCTTTAAATGGTGTCCATGTGTACAATCGTCAAACGAAGAACAAGCGCCACTGAAAATAACACGACAGAGTTCACGATCAGACGAACCATTAGGAGTTAATACACAAAATCAAAAGTGTTAACGCTAACCTTTCAAGTCTAAGAGATAGAAGAAGATCCACCACAAATTTGTTTTTTTATTGGATTGAGCTTGAATATTAATGTATAACAGTTCCTATGGTTTTTTGGTCGTTCAAAATTAACGCTATGAATTATTGGTGAACAAACAATTTAGTTTTAAAACGATGCCTTATGTATTATATCATTTTCTTTTTCATCCATTAGGCAAGTTCAATTCAATAGAATCGTCTGTCATTGTGTTGCATTCAGAAATGTTACTTAGTTTAATGTAAACATAGGAAAATGTGATGACTGTTAAAAAAAAGAATTTAAGTAAGTGTTTTTCTTAAATCTTGTATGAGTTATGTGAGTTCATTTTTCTTTATTTGCTTATGAAAATTGCTTTAATTCTAGGCTATAAAACGTTTCGTTCAGCTTTGTTCACTGTCATATTTTCGTGATACTCAAAAATAGGAGAATAAATTTGTTTTTTATTCTATGCGTTGAAACTGTATATAACATCAGCTGTTTTATGTTTTAATTAGAATAAAGTAACAGTTTTTATATATATAAGTCACTCTTTGTGTTTTTATTAGAGCCTCCTTTATGCTTTTTCGTACTTGTATTGTTTTTCTAAAAATATTTATAAATGCGGAAGTATAAATAAAGTTTTATACAAAAGAAAATGGAAATAATAGACAATTAATCATACAAATGGAATAAATGGTGCTCGCATAAAACATTTTTCTAAGTTGATCACTATTTGACTATCACTACGGTTACATTACGGAAATAATCACGATTATCTTTAATTGTGATTGAAAGGTAATCGCGATTAAACATTTTCTAATGTGACCGAAATTTTTTTTGGATTATGATTAACGATATTTAATTACAATGAACAGAATTGTGTGTAACCGCACTAATCACGATTGAAAAAGATAATCGTGATTTAACTCGTGATAGTCATACCTATAAATACTTAATGTGCAGGAGAAAACTCATTTTTGTGTTGACAAAGTGACCATGAATACAGTAACACTCTTTCATCTGATCAATAGATCTGTTGACATTGACTGCGAATAAACCTTCTTGTACTTTTTTTCAGGCACCACGATTCCGATAACTCACTATTTCATTCGATATCATTTCATCTTTTAACAATTTTAGCAGCAAGTTTGTTTCGTCATCAGACCATTGCCTTCGTTTTATTCTTGTAACTCTGCGTAGTCATTTTTAACAAAAAAAGTTATTATTAATTAATTATTTATTGATCTGTAACAAAATATAGTAATACCAGAAAAGTTCTTTAATATACAAAACAGAGTTCAGACTGATTAGTTATTGCAGTTGAGCAGTCATATGCAAACGTCGGTATCATGATCCTTTCTGTAGATAGAAGCGGTTAAAGTTAATCACGATTAAATTTAATTGCGATTAAGGATAATCATCTTCCGAATATGATTATCTTTACTCATGATTTTCAAAATAATTGTGATTAAAGTAACGGTTATACTATTAGTTTAATCATGATTAAAGATAATTGTGATTATCTGCGTAGTGTGACTGTAGTGTATATATTTATAAATATATAGTCCAATAAAATGTGACGAAAAGTGTTAATTCATGTGTACTACTAATTCATACTTTTTGTACGAAAAAATTTGAAATTTTTACTTTCCATGTTTGCTGAACGTAAGAAAGAAGAAAATCTTTTCTAGATAGGGCTATAATTCTGTTGTCATTTAATGTATTATCTGTATGTGATATTTTTACTTGATTATGACGATAGAATATAGGTTAAATTAATAATAAAATTCTCATTTTCATGGTTAATTTAAACTCTTAATCTGTTAAAAAAAATTAACAGTGTTATAACTACATTTATATTCTTACTTTTGCTCTTTAACTCTAATAATTCGATCTGAAATGTTTAATATAAGGAGGGTAAGTAGATTTTCGTATTGTGAAGAAGAACGAACATTTATAAGAAAAATAACAGAAAATTTGATATATATATATAGCTTTTTCGCTGTTAGTACATTTTCTGCTACGAAAATTTTTGATAAAAAGTTATAAAAACCAAATTAGAGCTGTCTCTCTATCCTTCTTTGTTAAATAACAGGTTGATAATAGACAGGTTGTATGGGAACGCAAAATATAAACTGAATGTTAAAATATGAAGTACAAACACTGGTATCGTAAAAGACACTCAATGGGAAAGAGCACTTTCATTGTATTAATTATAACAAAGAATACGAATTATAATAAAAACATGAGACAATTAATTTTATTCGGAGACACGTATAAGCATGAATTGAAAATAAACAGGATCTAGATAAAACCGAGTCTATACGAGAAGAAAATCACGAGATTTTTGTTATTCATAGTTACTTAATAGTTGAAATCTGATTTTATTAGATAAAACGATTACAAAGAAGACAAAACATTTTTATGCCGATAGACATTTAGCATTTATGCGAAACATCGATACTATAGCAAACTACTTGTAGAACTAGAGCTTTTTACTTTTTCAGCATTGATATAGAGATGGAACACAAAACAATCTCTTTAAACAGTGAAGTCATCTAGCTCCATAACGATAGAATTCTACTCAAAGAATGATATTTTTTCGAATAAATCAAAAAAGTCCGAAACAATTGAAAATGCAAATGAAATCATAAACAACAAATTCGAATTGATATTAGTTTTCTAAATCCAAACTCTATTTCGCATAATAATTTTGAGGCAGATCAAAATGAGTCTTTCCAAAGTAGCCTGCTGGCATTTGTCAATAATATTCCACTGATAATAAACATTTCGTTTTTATACCCCTTGAAACTGTCTTTCTCATCTCGTTCTTAGTAATGTTACATTTCACCGTTTTAGGAGAAGGATTATTCGAATCTCCAATAGCTGTAGATAAACAATCTAACATTATTTTTTGATATGTGCTTTAACTATAATACATGATTCCAAAAATATGAGTATGTTCTCAGACACGTCGCCGTTTTTCTATTGCAAGATAATTCATAAGCATGTGATATAAAAAAATACCGTTTTCTCTTTGTACTACAATCTAAATTTGTAGATGTAAACGTCTTACAACAATGTTTTATTGTATTCATTAATACTTTATAGTCTTTTAATAACAATGTGCTTATCGAAGATTTTTAAAACCCATGTCCTTGTTAACTGCTTCACTGCCTTGAATTTGATATGTTGTGGAAATCGTATTTGAGAAACAATGTTGATGTTGGTTAAATCATTATGATATTGTTAAATTTTCTTTTCATTCATATACTGATGAATGTCGTCCTTTTGCTATTGTTGTATTTGAGATTTATCAAATATTTCACATCCTTTTGATGTTTGGAAACAATAGTAGATCAGCGTCAGAACCCGACCAATAAACTCAAACCCAACCGGCTCGTCAGATTGAACTTTCCAGCCGGCCGGCCAATAGCAAATTTTTACTGGTTCGGCTTAAAAAAGATTGTCGTTTTTTCTCCTGAATACAGCTGGGAAAAAAGGAATAGAATCGATTTTTACGGAATCATTCTTTTACTTATCGAACACCTTTTTTTTCTGTTATTTGTACTGTGACGACATTTCGGTATGCTTTTCGCAATTGTACAAAAACCCGGGGGGCTCTATACACCGAAGAGAATCAAGACTGCCTGTCACAATGCGCAGCTAATAGTTTTACAAAAATTTTCAATTTTCACTCATATTTTTTTCGCTGGCTTTTTACCGGTCCCGGACATTTTCACCAGTTTAAAAATTTTCCGAGTTCAAAATCCCAAACGACCGGTTGTGTTGGATTGAATATTTTTAACCAGTTCCAGCTGTATAGCAGATAGATTTATTTTAGCCGATCACACAATTTGTTTTAAAAAATAGAATAAATTTGATTCTTTTATCAAATTATGCTTTAAAAGAAAAAATAAACTGATAATAGCGCTAGTCACCTAAATGCATCTGAACATAGCGAAATGACAAAACTGCTTCCACAGAGATCTCAGATTTTGAGGTTGGAAAAACTGATGAGTTATCATTTATTCAGCATTCTATACATGAAAAACGCCTAACTCTGCTACCGGAGTGTCTGTGCGTTACCGTTTTTTCTCTTTTCGTCTATCCTATAATATTTGGAAGGAATATTGTAGAATCCTGGAAAGTGTCTTGTTTTGTAGAATGAAGTGCGTTCTTCAAAATCCACCACTAGCTCAATTCGAAATTAATTGACGATCGAAATACTAAAAGCCCTAAAATTAAACAAGTGTTTTTGAGGCTCTTCGTACTTTAAGTATAGCATAAACAGCGTCAGTTATTTCGAATTGAGCTGGTGGTCGATTTTGAAGAACGCACTTCATTCTACAAAACAAGACACTTTCCAGGATTCTACGATATTTCTTCCAAATATTATAGGATAGACGAAAAGAGGAAAAACGGTAACGCACAGACACTCCGGTAGCAGAGTTAGGAGTTTTTCATGTATATTAATGCTGATTTTGTAACAAAAGTGGAAAATCTTTCTGTACAAGAGAAATAACATCGGAGTTTACATTACGTACAAGCGAAAATAAAACATTCATAAATCATAGTCATTAAAAGCAAATTTAATGAAACTCTTAGAAATTGATTACTATATGTTGCTTTACGCCTGAAAAAATATAAAACCTACTTTTTTTCATGTGATTCCAAGCGTTTCTATGGAAGACTGGGTTAATTTAAGATTTGAAACAGGACAAACACCTTTTCAACATTCTAAACGGATAGGATGCCTTTGCAGTCATCTTTTCAAAGTATCAGTCACATCCTGTACAAAAGGATTTCTCTTTCTATTCGAAAATACATATAGGTCTATACTACGATGCAGAATGGACGATAACTCTCTTGAAAACTCTCAATAATGGGTTAATCATTTTATTAATTGAACGGCGGTGCTGATAGATGAAACTTTGCTGATGTAAGAGATAACAGATTAAAATAACTCATGTTATTATTAGTAGAACAAGAATATGCGATGTTAAAATGAGCAATGCGAACATTAGATGATGATTATAACTAGGAGACTCTTTCTCACGTTGATTTGTTAAACGTCTTGAATTTTGATGGTCAAGCAATAATCGAACACATACCACATAAGCGGCATAATGTGTGATCAATTCTTGTTCCATGTTTTAGTGAAACAAATGAATCCACCGTCCTTGGGCATAAATCGGAATATTTTCACTACCATGTCCAAGCAAACATCATCTATGTGAAAAATCTAGATACACCTTGTCTGTACTAGGCCGATACACGACTAATTGTCATCTAGATTACTAATTGGAAAAGAGACCTTTAACTAGATGCGTTTGCATGTGTAACTAGTAATAGTTAAATCGATCGATTATCGGTCGATAAATTGATAGTTGCAACCAGGAGAAATCTAGCCATTGCCTGATTACTAGATTTCCCCTGTCGTTATAAAATGGTTGCAATCGAGTAATCGAGATGAATTGGGCTAGATATTTTTTTACGCTTAGGTGAGTATCCTGCCACAGAGGACTCGCTGTTGGATATTCAACACACGACCAATGAATCGATGTAATTACAACCAATTCGTATAATTAGGACCATTATTATAGGATATGATTGAAAATGTTTTATTATTAATATCCCATTCATACCTCGTAGTAGGATGCGTATCCGACTATATCTGAATCACGATAATCATATACACCTGAAGAGTATTGATGTCAATAATAAAATCTATGAGAAATCAGATTATCCTCGCGGAAGAAAATAGTTGCACACAGTATTTTTAAGATATTTTCCTTACGAAAATATACTTTTACAAAATGGTCGCATATTCTGATAGCGCTTGGAATTCTCTACAATTCGGTATATTTATTTACATCTTGACTTGCACTCATTCGCTGAAAAATAAATTGACTGTGATGAAGGCACCCTCATCATCCGATTTCCACGGACTGTATTTTGTTACTATCTTTTTTGATTTGTTTTTTAAACTTATCATCTCTGTAAAAATTAGTTTTTATAAAAGTAGTTATATATTCTGATAGCGCTTGAAATTCTCTATCATCCTATATATTTATATATTGTCTTGCATTTGTGTATTCAAAAACATTTTAAGCGCGGCGAAGGAACCCCAAATTGACATGTACCAAAAACTTCGTTTTTTCGACACCTGCTCTGCTTTTTTTCAAACTATACTTACCATACGAATACGTTTAAAAAGATGTAATTATTCATTCTGATAGCGCTTGAAATTCTCTATTACCCTGTGTATTTATGTCTTCTCTTGCTTTTATTTGCTGAAGAATAATTTAAGAATTACTAAGGCACCGTCCTTAACAAACTCTAAACAACTGTATTTTTTACTATCTCTTTGGCTTTTGTTTTTGAATTTATTATCACTACAGAAATATTTCTTTATACGAGTAATAGTATGGTCTGATAATGCTTTTAATTCTCTATCATCCTGAACTTTGCATTATATATACACATCAGATGCAAGGAAAATCCCTAAATGAAGTTCTACGAAAATGTTCTCGTAAATCGTTGTTTACGATCGTATGAACTGGATAGGGGGGTCTTGAAAAAATAAAACGGTATTTGCTACAAAAGAGATAGATAGACGATCGAAAAATATATTTTATTATAGAAAACCAGGGTTTAAGAAATGTTTTAACGGTTGTAAGAAAATAATGTTCAAGCATAAAATGATCCAGACTCAAAACACAATTATTGATACACGACCTATCAATTTATTTCGGTTTGATAAAAAAATAAATATTTTTACAAAACAACGTTTGGGCTATTTCCCATGAGTATTTAGATGAAGATTTAAGAATCAAATTCAGATATATGCAGACTGGAAGAATCGTGTGCTGTTCATCTAGTTTTTCCTTGCGTTCAATCATTTCTAACAGAGACGAGACAAACAGTCGAAGATCTTTTTTTCTTAAACAATCTATTAGGGATTTATCTCACAGACTATTTGTGTTTCTCTTACGAGCAATTTCATTTTTACTTTTTATTTTCTTCCAAACAGTACAATCTCAGCGCAAATCATCCACACATATTCGATAAACAGCGTACATTGTACATGGCATAACCTTATTTTCGAGCAGTTACGTCATAGCATTGAATCAATTTGGAAGTCAAAATTTTAGAATGATTGTAATTGTAACAGCAGCTATCTTGAGACGGCTCGAGACAAGAACATTTGTTATTTTCAAGAAAAATATATTGAATCCTCGTTTCAAACAGCTTCGAAAATACTCGAAAAGCGAACGATCAAATTGTCATAAATTTATTCGACAAGAAATGGCTGTTATCATTGAAAATGAAAAAAAACAAGATAAAGAAGCAGAACAATCAAGTAATGATATGAAGAGGAAAAAAATGAAACGATTTGGACGAAAATCTGAAAACGATGCGTCGTCAAGCGAGGAAGTGGATAAAGCAAACAAAATTGGCAATGAATGAAGCATTTGACAAAATTCCACAATCAGATGAACTCGATGTGTATTTGAAACTAACAGTTGACATTGGTTTTTACCTGAAAATTGCATGAAATTCTGGCATAAAAACTGTGCAACATTTCCTATTCTGTCTAAAGTGGCGCAAAAAATTCACTCGATATCCGCAACAACAGCTGCTGTAGAACGGACATTCAGTGCAGCGGGGGGTTAGTAGTAACTAAACGTCGATGCAATGTGAATCCATCACAAGTTGACAGTAACTTGTTGATAAGATCAATTGAAACGCTGAACAGTCGTACCCTCGAGAAATAAAGTGTTTTGTTTGTTTTCAAGCAGTTTTTGTTTGTTTTAACGTTTGTAAATATTCTTAATGTAAAAAAATGCATGGTTGTGACATATAGAGAATAAAGTGGACTTCCAAGACAAAAAAAAGATAAATTGATCGTATTTTATTACGGGAAAATATTTTCATCCATGGACAGAAGCACAGAACGTCCTTCATGGATGCGGGCGCAAAACTTTGTTAAGGTATCATCTATGGACGGCCACGGAAGCAACTGTTCCGTCCATGGGCGCCCATGGAAGGAAAATTTGTATCCATAACAGTCCCTGGTACATATGGCATATCAACAATTAATCGTTTTTTCTTTGATTCATCATTAATTTTATTCAAACTGTCGGGGATAGAATTTTGGTAACGAGAATTCCTATCAGAATATCTATCTGTACACGTGGATAATTATTGACAACGCTTATCCTTCCAACCTCCTGCAGTTCTCTTGTTAATAAAGCATAAGTAGAACATATGCGTATGACACTCACGCAGCTATTCTATAATTCATTGGTACATAAGACGTCCATGACATCATTAGATCAGTTAACAAAGGTCTTTTTTCTGTAAAGTGTGGTGCAAAATATAAAATTGCCTCAAATCACTTCAATATCAAGAAATGGAAAAGAACTATTAGTTTCTGTCTCATATGTTAATTATCAGGATAATAAGCATCAAAAACATTATTAATTTCGTTAAAAATGTATTATCAACGTATTTTGTATAGTGTGCGATTCCGTTCCAAATTAGCGTAAGTAGATCCCTCTAGATATGTCATCAATGTATCAGGATAAAATGGAAGCCAAAGGAGATATCATGACAAGCTCATTTACCTATCTGTACAATTGTCCATCAAACAGAAAATGCGTGTCTGGCGTAGTAATTTGAAGTAGAGACACCATATCATAACGGTGTTGACATGTACAAGTTATACGTTTGTAGCATTTGCTTTTACATCTATTATGAAAAGGATAGAGTTTATCAAGAATTATATTTATAGTAAATTGAAGCGGAACTTTAGCATAGACTTATCACGTTAAAGGATACTATTTTACAATGGATCATAGGAGAAGAAAGTTACGAAATTTTATAAACACAGTAAAATGTATCTTTACAAGTGTATTTATTATCACATAAAGGAGAGAGCCTATTGGTTAGGACTCTTTAGCCAGTTTGTAAAAGTTTTTGTCGTTGTAAGAATAGGTCTAAGTGAAATTCCGTCTTTATGTGTTTTCGATAAACCGTATAACCGAGCCCATTGACATCCCGAAGGACGACAACAAACAGATATATTTCGATTCTAAAGTAAAATTTTTCTCTTTTAGTTTTAACAACAGTCGTGTTAACTGATTTTCTTTAAAAAGTATTGAATCTTCATCTAAGTTAACTAATGTAGAAGAATCTTGGACAAGAGAATTTATTTTATTTAAGTCACATATTCAGACTTATCAAGCATCACTACACCTCACAGTGGACATCCAAGCGGACATTTAGCAAAAAATCAAAAGTACATTTTTGCTAAATTCAAATAGTATCATATATACGTTGATGTATAGCCTATCTAATGGCACTAAAACTTTTATTCTAGGTGATGAATTGTTGGAGAAACTCCATTAGTCAAAAAATGGGCTAGTTCATAGCTACCTTCTGGAAATCCTTTTTTCCAATAATGATGTAAATTTAAGTTTGTAAAAATTAAATATTCGAAGTCTAGACGTTTTTAGCTATCTACTCATAAAAACTTTTTCTTTAGAACCTAATATAGCGGCTAATAATCGGCTTCCCGAAGTGAAGTTGTTTTCCCATTTACTGTTTACACCATAATGACCTCACTAAAGTTACCTAATGCCGAAACTGACTCAGAATTACACCGAAACGTCGCTCGTCATGTGCTCTATCTATCATCAATGCAGTTTTTACCCAAGGCTCGGATATCGAGTTTTTAGGTATTTTCCATTTTTCTCGGGAAGAAAACACTTTTATTAAAAACTAGTGTGATATTTGGAATCAACGCATAAAACTGCATCATATAATTTGTTCATTTTCGAATAAAAAATTTGTCGACAAAAAATTTACGGCAACGCTCACCTTTAGGCATTTTTCGTCTAAAATTTTTTTTCTGAATTCGGATTTTTAATTTATAGTGACATTTCAAAAGTAATAAAAGTAATACTGATCAAAAATAATCGCTTTCTGAATTAAAAAACCACATGTCCGCCTGATTTATAGAAAAATGCCCACTGTGCACCTCGACCTTGGTCAGATCGCGTTATAACAATAGATTGATCTTTAGCTAATTCGCTAAACATTTCTTAGAAAATCTGCTCTTCTGCATCAAGGGTTTTAAGTAGGACTGTAAAAGTTCCCGTTGTGTTGATTTAACGCTAACTGAAAAGACAGTTACCGTTACTTTAACGATAACTACGTTTCCAGTCACTGTTGAAATAATGGTAACTATCAGTTAGTTAACTTTGTGGTAACTATGTTTTAAGTATGGCAGAAATATCCACGCAGCAGGTTTAAATGGCTTTCAAAATCGTATATTTTTCACTAAAACTGTTGAAACTTTCATAAATGACATGGTTTTGATTGGCACACACGTGCCAGTCAACTAAACTGATCGAAATGATATAACTTCAATGTTTTATAACTGCGATTTTTAAGGTCTCTGGAGACCTCAGCATTTACAACATTTTTGTTTTCATCAACAAGATTAGACTACAAAATCATGTCATATATGAAAGTTTCAACAGTTTTAGTGGAAAACTAACGATTTTGGAAGCCATTTGTGCCATAAAAATAGTTACCACAAAGTTAACTAACTGATAGTTACCGTTATTTCAACGGTAAGTGGAAACGCAGTTATCTTTAAAGTAACGGCAACTGTTTTTCTAGTTACTGTTGTCGATAATGGCCGAAGAAGTAACGGGAACTTTTACAGTTCTAGTTTTCAGTTAAGATAGCTAATATTGCAATTATAATCATCCTGCATTATGTCCTATCAAATAATAATTTACATATTTACAAAACGAGTAACAAATATATATATAAAACAAAAAAAATAGAATCTTAACCATCGAGCGTTGGTTCAACGGTCAAAGCTGACCCATGTCCACTTCTTTCACTTGTTAACGATGTGCCAAAGTCCCATGTGTCTGTATCTGGATCATAGACTTCGACAACCGATAAAAAGTTTTTACCATCATAACCACCTAACAAAAATAAAGCAAAACATTCATTCATTTCAGAGATTAGCGTCAAACTATGAGTGATAAACACGTACCCATTGCATGTATTTTTCTGTCTAATGCTACACAACTGAGTGCACTTCGTCTATAATGTAGTGATCGGACAAATGTCCATTGATTCGATAAGACATCATAGCGTTCAACTGAGTCAAGCTGGGATGCCGTACTGCCATTTGTGGTATAACCACCCACAACATAAATCCAATGTTCGAGTGAACATGCACCTAAACAACCAGACAAAATTATTTTGATGCTGTTTAAGAGAAATAATGTCTAAAATTATATTTTACCTGCTCCACTTCTACTAGTAAGCATTGGTGCTTCTTTTGTCCACACATTCATATCGGGATTATATGCTTCAACATCGTTCAATCGTTTTGTTCCATCATATCCACCTAATGCAAATAGAAGACGACTATTTGTCACGACAGCTAAACCGATTCTTGGTATGTGCATTGGACTAACAAATTCCCATGAATCATTTTTTACTGAATATCTAAAACAAACTAACATAAAAAGAGATAACTTTAAAAATAAAATATTACCTTTCGACGCTGTTATGAAATGTTTGTCCAGATGATCCACCGAGAGCGTATAAGAAACTATCAATCACTCCTACACCGAGACGATTCCTTGGTAAATTCATCGGTTTACATGTTTGCCATTTATTTTGAAATGGATTATATCGTTCAACATCGGAACAATCTTTATTGTCGTGTCTAAAAATTCGAGACAGTAAATGCATTTTTTAACATACTAAAAATTGCCTCCTCACATGAGAGTTATAGTTGAATGAAGATAAATGAGTTCGACTCAGGTTGCTCTTCCTTTTTTAATCTTTACTTAATATATTCGAGACAAACGTGTATTTTTTTATTGGTATACTACTTTCATTTACGAGGGAAGTACCCAACTGTTTAAACGCTTTTGACCTGAAGCTTAGTGGACAATTGATAATCGAGTGTGCTGAAACCGAATATCACATTGGTTTGGACCCAATTTTAGTTTACAGACCCGGTTTTTCAAGACCCCGGTTTTAAACGTGCAAAACTTAAAACAGCGGAAAAACGAGTTTTCGTTCTTATGCGTTTTATGCGACAAAATGACTGTTTTCTAGGTACTCGACGGTGCTGAATCCGAATATCAAAATAGTGTGGACCCTTAGCGTCCCTAAAGCACCGATTTTGGCCTAGAAA